AATACTAATAGTCTTAATGTTTGATTTGACCTGGCTAATAACTTCACTTCAACACCGTCCAATACACCGCTGCAACACATAGCGCACACACCATTGTGCATGCACAAATACACAGTGATATAGAGCTGATGAGCCTATATCATGAGCTGATGAGTCTATATCACTGTGTATTTGTGCATCATGCACAATGGCGTGCGCGCTATGTGTTGCAGCGGTGTATTGGACGGTGTTGAAGTGAAGTTATTAGGTCAAATCAAACATTAAGACTATTACTGGTACTGGTACTGGTAGGTTTAGTAGTAGTACTGACAAGTTGTATTTATTAACCATCATTTTATTATTGAAACGGTCCAAGTGCATGTGGGCCTTGTGCTGTGTGGCTGTGTGGCAAGTGTGGCTGTGCATTGAGCCATCGCAGTGGTGATGAAGTTATGTACAATACCATAATCTGGGCAAAAATATTATTGTACTGGTGTTCTAGCAATATTAAATATACCTGGGTCTTTTTCTTCAAAATCTTCCTCTCGATCTCGTTTTATACCCCGACTTTTATACATTTCTTCTTTACTGTTTGAATTACCGGACACGATGGGCGCAGACATATTTATCTCATTGAATAGTTACGCCATCTGTCGGCAGTATACCTACGGCTTTTGGATTGATTCCATAAGGTGTTTACCAATAATAGTATAACTTAGTATTACTAATACTAATAATCGCAACATCGCTGATTCGTTATGTTTACTTTGAAGAGCAGTTGACGCAGTGAACGTATCTGCAGGCGTGCTTCTACAGCGGACAGTACCACTGCTAGGAACGAACAGGATGTACTGCTTGCAGTGGCTTATACCAGTATTGCTGATGCCTAAGCCGGTAAACCCGGCAATGCTCTACAATCACGGTATGTTCATTCTTCTGTATCTAACCGGATTCTTTCTCGAGAGGAAACCGTGCACGACGTGCAGCATAGTTTTCCTGGCTGCACTAATGATGGCCTGCTACAGTGGCCTGGGTAGCTGCATCTTCTGGAACGACGAGGAACCCTGTGGGGACGGAACAGCCGTTTGCTCGTCGGCGTAACTGGAGGTGGCGATGGCATGGAGCAACTCTCGCCGAGGAAGAGACGAAGCCTACGCTGTGACGTGGAGCGAAGGACGCGATGGTTTCGGCTGCCGTCGTCCCGCCAGAGAACTTGCGTCAAATCACGAGACGTGAAATCGTACAAGTGTGAAAGCCGGTTTATACATTTTTATAGAATAAAATTATATATATATATATATATAAAACTCTAAAATAACAAAATACGTTGCTACAACGACGACTTTGATCGCGACAAGAATTTATACGTGTAACATATCACTCAATCGCCAGTTTACCGTTACGTCCGCACCGCTCATGATACATCGAGACCGACATAAGACCGTCACATGGCGATCATCTTGCACCATGTAACGTATCGGACAGCCATAAATGGAACGTGACCGTCGCATCTTACACTTCTGTGAACATGATCGGAACAATAAAAATTGCATCGGCGGTATGCAGTTGTCTTCAGGGACGGAGTTAAGGATGAAGAGACTGCATGGTTTGTTGCCTCTCTCTCTGCGGGTCGCATGCGTCTGTCCGGTGCTATGGCAACCGACGATCGGCGACGACGCGGGCGTGGAGTGATGGCGGCAGCGCGGGTCAGATACGGTCAGCGCAGCAGCCGCACACGCCTGAAGGAACGTCAACTCGTCGTGCATGCGAGCGTGTTACGAACAAGTGTTATCTAAATAGCTGTTCGTCAGGAACGAACGAACGACCGAGTGGAGGATGATAATCACGTGCCAACCAATCTTGTTCAACTTTAAAAATTCCGACTATTTTATGCGCGTGATGACGAAAATGAAATGATTGTGATTACTGTGTGTATATAATTGAGTGTGGTATAGAAAGAAGTTTGAAAGTAATGCGACGTTAATGCTAAGTAAGACTTTAGTGCTACTCATTGAAGGGTCACGTTGAGGTATGGGGAACTAGAAATATCTATAATAGGAATGAAATTAAGTCTCTGATTATTTGCTTGTTAAATGAAAAGCTTGCACGATTAACAGGATCATGTTTTTGTTGGTGTAAAGGCGCTGTAATTGCAATGGAAGTGCAAGCAACATCACATACATGTATGTTTTGCTCATACACTTATTTTTATATCGTTCATCTAGAAATATTCAATATTCACAATTTCTGCTCTTCCAAGTATCTGCTACTGCATGTGACCTCTCCCAAGAAACATAGCAGCTGCAATGTATTCATAGTTCATACTAGTTGTAAAATGGTGGGTTAATGTGAGTGTCATATAGCAACCGACGTACACTCATGAAAAAATTTTGTCATGTCAGGTATGACAATGGTGCCGCCTCATTATGCGCCCTGTGTATCACATTAGTACAAATATTAATGCATACATTAATGATTTGCAGTTACGAGCAAAAAAAACATGTAAATTTAAAGCCTGTTGTTTGATTGGGTGTGATTCAATGTTGCAGCAGCTAAAATGGTTTGTTTTGATTGTACGTTTGCAATGAAACAAAAATCAACAAATTAAAGAACTTTCAGTCAATTCCAGCATTTCGCTTCTTCCTTGCTTGTTCACCTACTGTAAATTATCATATGATATTTGAATCAACGTTTTTGGTATTTTCATAAAGGAATTTTGCCATGTTTGATCTACTCTATAGTGTTTCCTGATTTTCGGGACATGCACTGTAAATGGTTGTGCTAACAGATATGTTTATTACATGGTGGGGGGGGGGAGGTCTTATTATTGTGTACTATTTTTCAATCTTAATTATTTCTTCATGGCAAGTGCAAGGCAAGTGTTCTATGAAATCGTTATTAAAACATCATTTGAAGAACAGCATATTATGTGTAGAGTTTAAACATTGCCATGGCTGCATTTTTGTCTTGAATATTACTTCTCGGTTTATGTGTGAAAAGTTTTATTACAGTCTTTTCATATAGAGAGCATAATGGCGGTTTTAACTACATATAACGTCTTCTAGGTAAACTGGAAGAGCTCTCGATGATTAAATAAGAGAAACTTTCCTGAAATGATGTTTGTTGCGCGTAAATTGTTCAATCACAATCTACTTATTAAATACAAAGTCGGCCAAGATTCCCAACATAAATAACGGATGGCACACTAAATCTTGAGATGCTAATAAAGTACAACTAATTTGTTTACTGAGGAAAGAGTTCTGAGAAATGTAATTAGTTTTAATTAGCAAGCATGTTTGCATCTACCCTAATGAGGGAGCAATTATCGAAAAATCAACAACTTTCTAAGGGTTTAGCAGAATGGATTAACCAATGCATACAGAGGACAATCATTTACTCTGCAATTTATGACGTATGGCAACAGGGAAGCAAAATAGATAAGATATACTATCTATCTCTGCCATTTCATATAGGCATACAGAACTGTGAATGCGCTTTGGTCACTGATCTCTATAATAATAACTGATCTCTATAATAATCTCTATAATAATATTATTATAGAGATCAGTGGCTTTGGTGGGTGGCGCCACCTTTAAAAAGCCATGTCACCTACTTTTATTCATTATAAATGCATATTTTTCAGTATAAACGGCATGATATGTATAGTCTGTAAAATAAACCAAACACTCGCAACCTTTGTGCAACCTGTCCGCAGAGCTCTTCACAGATTTTGCTTTTTCTTCCATATATTTACGGTTATTTGCACATATTCATATGACGTGAATCCTACTTTTATATAATTATACTTGATATAATTGATATATATGATTGATGACTTGATATACTTGATATATATTGATATGTTCCTGGTGATACCCAAGGACAATAAATACATTGTTAATATATATGTAATAATGTGTACAATGTTATATGTTCTTAACGTTATGCGAAAATGGCAGTACACGTGGACCCGTGTACACAGTGCGCACGTGGACAGGTACAGAGATAAGAATAAAATATTAATACTTATCAAAATTCTCCTGCACTGAATGAGTCAGCACCGCGCGTTTATAAGATTAGGAACAATAATAAGCATTTATTATAATATAAGCATTAATTATGAGCATTTAAATCAATCTGATGCGCGGATACAAGCCGTCTATGATGCTACAGGGAAATTTCGCACGACGAGGGACCTTTTGATTCTAAAAAGAGTAGTGGGTATGTACTTTCTAATATTAAAATGACAATTTAATAATAAAAAATACTTTCCATTAAGTAGGACACTTTTGGATACGTATCACCATTTATTGGCCGATTTAAATTTTAATCGGGTTACGTCAGCCAGGAGTCCCTATTATCAGAGCATATAAATCACCTCGATCAGGTGATTTATATGCTCTGCTATTATTTCCTAATTTTATCTTTATCATCTCCGCATATACATCCGTTTATAATAATCCTATTCGTGCCAATATTTCTCGAATTTCTTTCATAAATGTTATTCGTCTGTAGGCTTTTATATCGTGCTACAATATCATGATAATTGCACTGAAATGTTAGCATATTATATCAGCTATTTATACAAGTATACGTCATATTGCTCTGCATGTTTTGCTAAATGTTTTTGCAAAATAATTCTATCCCGTTAGACCTTATATATTTGATCGACATAGACTTTACTAATTATTTCCTTGGTCGTTCCAGATTATGTTACTATAATCCACTTATGCTAATATTTTATCCTAAATATGACATTTTAATCAATATGTGATACAATATGTTTTGTTCCTTCCGTATTCATGCATATCATATGTTGTCTTTGATTAAATATTAACCTAGCTGTACTGTCTGTACTAGCATGTATGTTTCAATTATTTCGCAATGTTATCCTTATAATTTCCGCAATTATATCAGCTTACTGACAGCAATTATTATTGCAGTAACAATTTATCCTGTCTGGGCTTCAGCGTTTATAGCTCATTTGCTTTCATATCCCGCATTCCCCATTTCATATCCGTAGCTCTGCCGTTAGTTGTCGTTATAGTTACGCGCATACAAAAACAGTGTATGACGCTGTATAAAAATATGTGCTCTCTAAATTAAAAGTATAATTTCAACAAAATTCTATATCATTTATTTCTCAAAGGCTAGACATACAGCTACATGTGTCACTCACGTGGAAGGACAGACCCCCTGCATGGGCACAGCCACAGGGGCTTATTTTTCATGTCAGCATGTGCGTGCATGCCTCCTTGCGCGCGTGCATGTATGTATGCTCACACGCGTAGAAAAAGATTAATAAAACTGTAATTCAGAGTGATATTAGACAAAATTAAAATTTAAATGAAATAAAATAAAATTAGACAAAACTAAAAAGGGAAGAGATCTATGGCCGTTAGATGTCGCGATATGTCGTTAATGTTTACTCGCAGATGCAGGCGTGAAAGTTATGTTGTGATAAAGCAAAGACCGTAAACAATGTACAGATCTTTGATAAAAGTTAAACTAATTTTTTACCAATGATAATGAAACTATACTGTTATCTTTGTTAAGAGCCCTATTATATCTGGTTTAACACAGTGACGTTTGAGCTAATTCTTTATTGAGCTCTTCGCCAGTGGCAGTGTATGTTTGTGTATGTCCAGTGTGTGTATATTCCAACCAAACTCGGTATTACACTTACAGTAAAAACCAAGACATTCAAACCAACTGGCAACTTTTGAACATAATAGTTTTAATACATATTCCAAATTCTTAACTTTGTTGTATTTCACTTTCAGGAGTCGGTAAAGTGGCTGTAACGTGGACAGAATGGGGCAGTTGGCGAAGATCCTTTGTGTTTTCGTAGTCATGGGGTTTGTGTGGATGTCGTACTATTTATTGCCAATGTTGTTGGGGAACATACCATTACCAAATAGAACTGCTGCTGTCTTTGTAAAAGGACAAGGTATGAAAATGCGTAGTGCATGATAATATTTGCTCGTTACTCCCGAAAGCAATGACGTTGTGCACATTGTTGTTGCTACTCTTTCACAGTTTCAGTACCAATCGATGTTCTACTTTTGGAGTAAACGTGCAGGATTTATTCTATTGTTGTGTGCGCTAATCTAGGTTTAATTGTTGTTGTATGTTGTCATTGTATGTACACCAATTATTTTAAATATCTATATCTAATGTTGTTTGAATTTGACAGGGAAAAGTCTCAAACGTTTACCTGCATTGAACCAAGTTAATGTAAGTGTAGGGGATATGTATATAACTATATATGTGTTATAGATAGAAGCACTGGTAGCTGCATATAAGAAATCATTTAACTGCAATCCAATCAAGTGCAGTGTTACTGCATTCATTATACTGAGGTAATTAGTCCCTGTCACTGCTACAGGGAGATAGATTAATGTATGATAGGTATTAGTATGTAAACCTAGAACTAGGATCCTGCTTGAAATTTATCACTTCACTTCAATACCAATGCAAATGAAATAATGAGTACAATATGTTTTGTGTAATAACTGGATAATTTCAAATAGAATATTAGTGTTCTGTGTACAGATTCTCACTGTTAGGTAATTTACTAATTGTAATTTCATTTCCCTCGTAATTGTGGATTGATATTTTGTTGTAGAATGTGACTAGACTACATCAAGTTATTCCTGTGGCTGCATTAAACCAGAGCATTCGACTACAGATTGATATAAAGTTACAGGTAGCCATTATTTTCGATTAGAATAAATTTGTTTAGGGTCTGGTTCTAAGTATTGTTTTTACCAGATCAGCTTATCAAGTCGTTTTATGTACAGCAACACTTGATAGTGAACCTATTTTCTTATAGGTTACACATACTTCAGAATCGAGGAAAATACATGAAACTCCGCCTATAGGTGGCAGCACCAACATAGAAGATGAACAGAAACGAAGAAAGGCAAGAATTAATCAGGTAACTTTTACTTAATGTGTGTTATTTACACAGCTACTCGTTTTCTTGTCATGTGAACGCATTATATGTATGAATGCATTTATGTATATATGTATTGATTTTACTGTAAAATTGTACTTTAATTATAATTTTGCCAGGTGAAAATCCTTTTTGGATCTTCTTAAACACGAGTATGCACAACATGTGTGCATTCCTCCCTCGCTCTCTCTCCCTTTCTCTCTCCCCTCCTCTCTCTCTCTTTCTCTCTCTCTTTCTCTTTTCTCTCTCCCTTCCTCCCTCTCTCTCCCTCTCTCTCTCTCTCTTTCTCTCTCTTTCTCTTACTCTCGTCTCGGCTCTCTCCTCTCGCTCTCTCCTCTCTCTCTATATATTTATACTATATTACTATACTATATATCATATATATATATCAGAAGTTAAAGATAATAGGGACGAGAGGGGAGTGCTGAACTTGAATAAACAAGGGAAATTCGTCATTCCCTAGCCTTAGAATACCTACGATTTACTACGCGTAACTAAACCAACTTGGGCTCAAATCGTACACAGTACATTCGCCTAGCATCGTGCGAAATCATTTCCTTGTATACACCCGCAATCCGGAGATACAGACTAAAACGTATGACACGATTCTCCATTCTGTTGGCAGCAGATCGACTCCATAACCCGTCTAACTTGAAACAATAGGCAGCTACTAACGACTCTTGCGCACTCTTGTGCCCTCGGCGATGCGCTGTGGCTCGCTGGGAGACTGGACATCGACGCAACACTCGGCAAACTAATCTTTGACCTATTTACAGCTGGTATGCCCCCACGCACGCACGCCCACCGCAATCAGCAGCAGCTCCAGCTCCAATCTCCCAGCGAGCCACACCGCATCGCCGAGGGCGCAAGAGTGCGCAAAAGTTGTTAGTAGCTGCCTATTGTTTCAAGTTAGGCGGGTTATGGAGTCGATCTGCTGCCAACAGAATGGAGAATCGTGTCGTACGTTTTAGTCTGTATCTCCGGATTGCAGGTGTATACGAAGAAACGATTTCGCACGATGCTAGGCAAATGTACTGTGTACGATTTGAGCTCAAGTTGGTTTAGTTACGCGTAGTTATTCTAAGGCTAGTAAATGACGAATTTCCCTTGTTTATTGAAGTCACACTCCTTCCCTATTATCTACTTCTGATATATATATATATATATATCACACTAACATCTTGTCTCGCAGGTCTGCAGGAAGTACAACATGACAGGGAGGGCACTCTCACCACTCAACCACCTCATCGTTGACGACCCTCACCACCTCCTCTACTGCTACGTGCCGAAGGTCGCATGCACTAACTGGAAGCGGGTCATGCTGCAGCTCGCGGGCGACCGCGACGCGAGCCTCCGCCCCGCGGCGTGGGTGCACGCCAGGGGGCGCCTCCCGACGCTCGCTCGCTACGCCGCGCGCGCGAGGGGCACTCGTGCTGCCACCTACACCAGCTTCCTGTTCGCGCGGCATCCGTTCGAGCGTCTTCTGTCGGCGTTCCGCAACAAGTTTGAGTCGGCGCACGACGATTACTTCCGCGAGCGATACGGTCGCGAGATCGTGCGGCGCTACCGCGAGAACGCGACACGAGAGGCGCTGCGCAGAGGTCACGACGTGACCTTCGCCGAGTTTGCTCGCTTCGTCGGTGATCCGCGGACGCGCGCGCGGGGCCTCAACGAGCACTGGGCGTCCATGTTCTCGCTCTGCCGGCCGTGTGAGCTGCACTACAGTGTCGTCGGAAAGTACGAGACGCTCGCAGCCGACGCGAGGTTTGTCCTCCAGCGAGCGCATGTCGCCGACGCCGTCCGCTTCCCGCTCGTCAACGCGTCGTCGTCGTCGTCGTCGTTGAGGAAGACTAGCACGCGGGATCTGCTGGGGGGCTACATGGTGGGATTGTCGGACGTCGACGTGGCACGGCTGAGGGGCGTGTATGCCTTCGATTTCGAAATGTTCGGCTACGAATGGCCGATAAAGTGAAGGGAATCTCTTTTGCACGGAAATGTCAAGCGCATTATCGTAATAATCCATTTCATGAGAGAGTGGTTAAACTTATGATATATGTGTGTGTGTGATCTAGAGCAGATGATGCCAAATATGGTGCCTAGATGATTCTGTTTTCTTCTTGAGCCCTGCTACTGCGACAGATTTTTTCAGCTAGCAGACAAAGATTTAAATCTTGAGTAATCATCTTGAAGCTTTTGCTTCCAAATTACATGTTCTGTCAACAGGTGTCTCTGTATCTCTCTCGGTTTTCTACGTCAAACTTGCAGTTGTCCGTTAACAGATCCGAGGCATGAGAGAAGGAGGGGAGGAGGTGATAGAGAAACATTAGCAGCCTTAAAATGGTGGGGAAGTTGGAGGGTTAGGGAGATGCTCAGCTATTGTAGCTATGGTCAGGCTGAAACACCCGCTTGCTATCCTCTTGGCCTCTGGCTGCCTTCCTCTCCCGTATTCTACTCTACCATTAGCATAATATCAGAAGTAGATAATAGGGAAATTCCCTATTATCTACTTCTGATAATATGTTCATGTTGATCTCATTTATTAGTTGTCTATACCTCTCGCTTCTTATTCAAACAGTTCTTCATTGCTATATAGACAATCATCACTTATATGTTTTTTTAGATGCCAATGTCAGTATTTTTTATATGTGCCAAAATGATTGCAAACGTGCATTTTATATATTTTATACATTTACTCCGTATAATTTTATGTGCTAAATAATTCATTTTGTTTTAGGTCAGGGATGTTCTTTTACATCACTGTGCACCGATTCACTTTATCGAACAGTCCCAAGTTGCCAGTTGCCAAATATTCTCATTATTCTGGTCATTAATATGTAAATATTTATAATAAGTTTAATAGTTTATTGATTTTGTGTCAGTCCGGTCCATCGAGTTGTTTTTGTCGAGTTGGTTTGTGAATGTTGGCGTTCGTGAACGAATTAAATATTACAGTGTGTGATTTGCTTACTGAAGTCAAATGCTAGCTATCGTCAGCGTTTACTTGACCAAGACTGATAGTAATAGTGGAATGATAAAAAAGTGGTAGTGTTTTTATACACTAATGTGTGCCTTGTTTTTATACGAGCGTCACAGTGTGATGAATATTCTTCTGACGCTTGTAAATTATAAAGCCACATGACTATATGATGCGCACTGTCTGATAATAAAATAATAAACTCATGTCACTTAAATTATGCCATCTCAGATATTAAACCGATTTCTGTTGCTTTATACCGATGTTTCAGAAGTGTGACGAGAAGTGCCAAACCACTTTCTTTTTCAACTAAATGTATACAAGTTTGGTTGGGAGAGCGAATAGCGTTAGTTACGAGCATGTATTATTTTGTGTTGTGCTATATATATATATATATATATATGTAAGGAAGTGACAAAAAATAAAGGAAAGAGTAGCGAGAAAATGTGTCTAAGAATGTCAAGCCGATTGCAAACGCAAAAGCGGCTCAACTCTTTACTCGCAGCCTCTTAAAATTACGCATTGCATCCACTTGCGCTCTACACGAGAGCCTTCAACAGTAAAGATACGACAAGTCCATTCTCGCAAAACTCGACCGAGCTAATGCCTACTTTTATGCCACTACTAAGGGTTGATGGCCGTCTCCGCTTCTTATACATACAGTCGCAGCGTCTTTACTGACATATCAACGGCTTCCTTGACGTCTAGCAAATAGAGAAGGTTGGATGTTCGTCGATAGAAGGTTGGATGTTCGTCGATAGACCGCTAACCTCCGCACACGAACGAGCGGCGGTGACGATAACTAGCGTCTGCTATAACCGACTATCAAAATGACGTAGAAATAACGAGTGAGTAGTCATTGAGACGCGTATGAGTTGGCTCGGTAACCATCGTCGATTGCACCGCTATCGTAGATACGTATGCCGCCGGTTCGCGTTATTCGTTTTAGAAAGGGATTTGGAAAAAAACACGAAAATCTCCGTTCACGTGACTTGAGACGCTAGCTGGGAATTCGCAGCATTGACACGGACGGCCACGACGTCCCGTTGTCGAAAGCCACCACCGTAAGATCGCTTTCCCGACCATTGTGATTTTAGTTCGGTTTATCCGCTTTGACATCGACAGTTGCGTCCGACGCGATCGCCGTATGCTAGTGATTGTATTGAAGGCATTTTTTATCGCGAATCCTCGGGGAAGACCGTCCACTTATCCGCTTGTAAATTCCGTCGAGCTGGCAGCTGTGACCCACGCACAAGGATTCCCGCAGGATGCCGAGGCTTAATTATGGTTTTTGAAGAGAACATCATCTAATTAGAGTCACTGAATACGATTCTCCGCGGAAGAGTGACCGCTTCATTAGCGGACATATTTTCATTAGTCCTGTGCTAGCGTTGTCTGTCCACTAGCGCTCCTCCGCCGCAGGCTACCGTCTTTCTCTCTCTCTCTCTCTTTCCCTCTCCCTCCCTCCCTCCCTCCCTCTCTCCCTCCCCCTCCCTCTCCTCTCCCTCCTTCCCTTTTTCCTCCTTCCTCATCTTTCCTACCCTCCCCTCCCTCCCTCCCGTCCCTCCCTCTCCTCCCTCCCTCGCCTCCCTCCCTCCCTCCCTCCCTCCCGCCCTCCGCTCCTCCCTCCTCCTCACCTCCGTCCCTCTCCTTTCCTCCCCTTCTCTCTCATCTCTCTCCCTCTCTCTCTCCCCCTCTCTCCCTCTCCTCCCTCCTCCCTCGCCTCCTTCCCTCCTTCCCTCCCTCCCTTCCCTCCCCTCTCTCTTCTCTCTCTCTCTCTCTCTCTCTTCTCTCTCTCTCTCCTCCGTGGTCCCCTCCCCCCTCCCTCTCTCTCCCCCCTCTCTCTCTCACCCTGCTCTCCCCCTCTCTCTCTCTCACTCATCTCCCTCTCTCTCTTCCCCCTCTCTCGTCTCGCCTCTCTCTCTCCCTCCCCTACCCTCACCTCCCTCTCTCTCTCCCTCTCTCCTCCCCCTTTCTCTCTCCACACTCTCTCCCTCTCTCTCTCTCCTCCCCTCTCTACTCTCTCTCCCCCTTCTCTCTCTCTCTCCCTCCCCTCCCTCCCTTCCCTCTCTCTCTCCCTCTCTCTCTCCCCCTCTCTCTGGCTCCTCACTCTCTCCGCTCTCTCTCTCCCCCGCTATTTCCTCTCATG